TCACTGCTTTCCTCTTACCGGCACAGCTGGTCAGCTCATCATAGAACGCAGTGAGGTTGGTCCAGACCAGTTTGCCATTGGTACATGCATGTTCCTTAACCACTTTCTTTCCTTTCGGGAGGATTTGCTTCATAACTTTCCTATGGACTGAGGTGATGATGATTGGCCTGTAGTTCTCCAGATCCTCCTCCTAGAAGAATGGTGGGAGGTTTGCCTTTTCCAGTTCTCAGGACCCCTCCCTGATCACCCTCACTTTTTGAATGTGACGTAGAGTGCCGTTACATTGGCATTGGGCAGCTGCATCAGCACAGAGCTGTATATGTCCCATGGACCTGTGTATGTCCTCCTTCCTTAAGTGTTCTCAGACACTGTTTCCCTCTCCCACAGCTAATGCTTCATGCCACCGTAGTCCACAAGAGGTTCAGGGGACTGGGTTGTCCAAGGGCAAACTGGTGAAAATTATGCAAGAGGAGAAAGCAAGGACCTTAGTATTTTCTGTCTGCTCAGTTACTTAATCTCCAGCCACACTGAGCAGGGAGTCCATGGTTTCATTAGCCTTCCTTTGGCTACTGAAGTACTTGCAACTGCCCATCCCTCGTGCAGCTCTGCCCGAGCTTTGACCTTCCTATCTGCCTCACTGCAAGCTAGGATTATGTTTCTACATCCCTTCTGGAAGCCTGTCCTCGTTTGCACCTTACTTTGTGTGTTTTAGCTGTCTTTAGCACATCTCTGGTGCTGCTGCTCCTTGCCCAAGCTGTGTGGGCACAGCAATTACCTTGCTCCAACCAGAGCAAGAGAAACCAATGTGGACCAGATTAAATCTAATTTTAAGGCCCCAGTTTGTGAGAAAAATTTGAAGTGGCCAAACTGCCAGAGGGGTCAAAATTTTGTCTTAAAACTTTCTCCCTAGCATACGTTCTGATACTGTGACCTGTCGTGAATGACACCTGAAGAAACCAGCCTTCATCTGCAAAGGTGTGTGTGGGAGTTGGGACAGGTTGAATTTAGATCTGGATGCCTTTGTGCTTGGGGAGAAGGGCATAGATGTTTCTTCAGCAATGCCTTTGCAGGTTTGTCAAGACTTTGCTATGAGCGAATCACGGAATAGAAGGAGAAATGAGAAACTCATGGTCTACTGTTTTCAACTGCTGGAAGTTAGGAATAATTGGGTGTTAAGAATAAGTAGCATTTTTTTCTGGCTTTACTCTTTTTGCTTCCTCCAAAAAAAGAGAAAAAAAAAAGTTATAAGATCTATTTGAGTCTTTGTTTTAACACCCATACATTGCTAGGGTAGCAATGTGTTAGAGCAAAATAGGCTGCTGAGACTCGTGTAAGCAGCTTCACTGGCAAGTCAGGTAAGGCTGGTCCTCCATGTGGAGTTCTCARGGTGCTGATAGTGCTGGCCTCTCCCCTGGGAACCCAGATCCATTCTGGGTGCTGGTTCAGCAGCTATCCCAAGCTCTGCRAGCTCCTGGCAAAGCACCAGGGAAAATTAGACTTTTCACATTCTGAATTAATCGCATTAAACCCATTAAACCATCAAGGGGCTCTTGGATCTTCACATGAGTCAAGTGGACCTCCTGATCCTCTTGGAGCCAGGAGATTGCTGGCCACCACCAGGAACATGCTGACCACCCATCACAGTCTGACCACCTCGCGGACCCCCGTGGCCCGTCAGAAACAGGACTGTGCCACCATCCTGCTCTTGCCCAWATCCGTAAGCCCCATGGCCAGAGGAGGTTCAGGTTAGACATTAGAAAGAGTTTCTACATGGAAAGAGTAGTGAGGTATTGGAACAAGCTGTGCAAGGAAATGGTAGAGTCACCATCCCTCGCAGTATTCAGGAAACGTGTAAGATGMGGCACTTAGGGACGTGGTTTAGCAGGCATTTTGGCGAAGAGACTATGGTTGGACTCGATGATCTTAAAGGTCTTTTCCAACCATAACAATTCCATGATTCTGTGGTWCTTTGATTAATAGTTTCAGTAACGCCTTCAGCTTAGAAGCAACACAAAGTTAGGGGGCTCTGTGTCTGGGGACTCTCAACTACGGAGATGGGACAGGGAGACGTGCAGCTCCCGAGCTCAGCCCCAGCACAGCAACGCTGCCAGAAATGCTTGTTCCCAGGAGTCTCAACAGTATTTCCGCTCTTTCTATAAGTATCAAAGTTATTTCCAGTTCATAACAGAACAAATGCTGATATTTACATTCTTCCAAATGTCAGTACTCTTGGTTCCTGTCATTCAGAACAGCTTTTGCCTTAATTGCTTTTAGGTTTGGTTCATCTAGCCAGTGCAGTAGTAATACTTACCTCTTTTGGCCTAGTTCAAACACTGTGAAGCAAACGCATATGGGAATACAGGAGTATACTTTCTATGTAATGAATCTCTTTTAAATGCAAAGTGTATTTTACTGTGCTTTTTTATTTACTCTGGATTTTCAGGGATTTTTTGTTTAATGAGTAAAATCAAATAAATACTTCTAGCTCAGTTTCTTATGAAGGTCTGTGTTCCTTCAAAATCAAGTGCCTTTTGTAAACATGTGAGATGCCTATGAATATACCAAATAACCATCTGAACMAAACAGTGCTAAGTTAAGTAACTTCTTAAGAGACGTGGTGTGGTATCCTGATTAGCAAAAAGGAGTGTCAGGTTCTCCATCAAGGCTATATTTGGTTGCAAATCAACATATGTTGATAGTTAGCAGTGGAATGAGAATGAACTATTTTTTTKGGGGAAATGGCTTTGCAAAGGCGGAATAAGAATTACTTGCTGTTGGATGTTTGCAGGATTTCCAACCATGACCTTAGGAGGTTCAGAGTTGTTCTGACCTTCCTGTTTTGGATTGGGCACCTTTTGAGCAGAGGAAGTCTGCTTGAAACTGAAGCTGCCAGAGGCTTTTATGTGAGGTGTGCAAAGCAGATGAGGAACCAAATTGCTGTTATAGCTGAGACTTAGGCTCTACTGTAATTATATAGCTGCTGCTTTCTTAGAATAGCTACAAAGCAAAAGCAAGTGTGCCTTTCAGATAAAGTCTCCAGTGCCTCGTTCAGGAGGTATGGATAAAAGCTGCGTTGGTTGTGGCTGCTCGTGACATATTGAGACGCAGTAGGGACAACCGAATGCGTTTGTGCATGGGACGCGTTTGACCTTGCGGAGCGGCAGCAGAGCGGAGCGTGGGGAGTCGCTGGCCGCGTGTCCCTGCCTGCTCCGAGCGCCTCTCGCCAGCTCCTCCCCGCGCCTGCCTGCGGAGCCTTCCTGGCATCCAGGCTTCAAAATCTGCTGCTGGGGAGCCGAGCAGAGCTCAGATCCTGCCTTTTGGCTCTGCTCTCGGATATGGTTGTGCTCGCTGGAGTGTGAGCTCAGGTCGTGCCAGGGGTCCTGAAACCTGCCACGGAATTGGCCAGTCAGGTGTTTCTTSATCTTAYTCATTGCTCTCAGGTTTCTCTCTCCTTACCTTCTTTTGGAGCCTTCCTGCACATCTTTTCCCTGTCTCTTTTCTGTTCCATCACCTCCTCTCCATTCTACCTCTGCCATTTCTCCTTATCTTTGTTTCTCTGGTCCCTCTGTCTCCTTCTTGGGCCTCCCTGCACGAGCAATCCTCAGAGGTAGGGCTGTGGGTATCACAGTGTTCTCAGAAGCTCTGCAGCGTCATGGGACAGTCCCACCTGCCTCTGGTTTACATGTGAGTGTCTCTGTTCTGCATATTTGATGCTGACTCTTCAGGCCTTTACATTCGGTCATGTCAATCACATGCAGTGGGACTAGTGCCTGGGTATATTCTGCCTGGATACGGTATTGGATTTGGCTTCYCCTTCCACTTGTGCATCATTTGCCTCCACAGACATGTTTGCTCTGGAAATTCAATTGGGAAAAGATATTGCTGAAGAGAGGTATAAGCATTTGGTTGTAGGATGTGTGTGGCACTCCGTCCTCACCATCCTGGAGTATCTTTAAGCTGTTTGCAGTAGCTGTGTTAGCCTGGCAACGGGATCAGACATCAAGTCGGAGCATGGACTGGGTGCTCATGGGTGGGTGAGCTGCTGCCTGCACAGAGAACACCAGCCTGCATGTGGTGGGAGCTTGAGTGAGGTTAGTATGTGGACTCTGGTGAGGTGTAATTCCAAGATTTTTCTCATGCATGTCTTTGTGAAAAAGGGAAAGCAACAGCACAAGCTGAGGGCACGCTGCAGGCTGCTCTGCATGGACATCAGTCCTAGTTTGTCAGCTCTGCAGGCAAATTATCATGGTCACCCCAGGCAAAGCATCCCCTGCCTGCACCTCCTGGCTTCCCTCTGGGTCTGCTGGGTGCCGCCTTCCCCAGCCCATCCTGCTCCAGCTGCGGGAGACACCTGCTCCCTCCCGGCACCTGCAGGGAAAAGCCCCTTAAGCGGGGGCAAGCACCAGACCTTCTGGCTACCAGTGCCCTAACCGCTTGGTGCAGCAACAGGCCAGTTCAAAACCGGGTCACTGATGTTTTCTCTGTTGTCTGCACAGCAAATTATGCATTTCTTTTGACAGACCAATAAAACGCTGACAGATTTCTGCTCCTTTTAAAAATAGCCAGCAATACATTTTTGATGGCTTCTGAGTAGGAGTTTCCTTGACCAAGGCCTTCCCTCTTGCAGGTCCAGCACTGCCATCTATTGGCACATGCCCTGCTGTGAGCGCGGCCGCAGCTTGGTGTGACTGAGCAGGCTGCCAGCCTTGGCCTGCTGCTGTCCTGACACCAACACTGCACGTTCCTTGGGTGCCTAGGTTGGGTGATGCTTGTATAGTAGGCAGGGCTACTCACCTGGGCAATGTCATCTGTGGGCAYGTGGACATGCAGCTTTGAGCAGTTCTGCTAGGTCTTTTGGATGGAAAAGTTTGAGGGCTCCCTAGAAGCCACTGGCGCCTAGGAAGTGGTRCAAGTCAGATCTGTGCATTCCCAACCCAAAGAGTGATAAATTTCTCCTTACTAATAAACCCCGCCTGTGTGTGTTGTTCTTCCCTCTCCAGCACTCGACATTGTCACGCAAGTTTGTGGAAGTGATGTCTGAGTACAACGCGACACAGACTGACTACAGGGAGCGCTGCAAAGGGAGGATTCAAAGGCAGCTGGAAATCAGTGAGTAAAACCAGAGGATAAAAGCAGCAGAGAAGCTGCTGTGTCCAGCTGGAGGCAAAAGTCCCATCTTAGTTCTCTGTGAAGGAGACCTGCTCCTGTTTTGGGTGGTGCTGCTTGTCTGCCTGAGCTGTGGAATCAGTGATTTCCACTGCCTCCTAGTGGGTGGTCCCTGCTGCTGACCTGACTGGTAGCTGCTGGGGTTGGGGAGGTTTTTTCCACTGCTGGATTTAGGCTGGTGGCTGCTGAGGGACACGTCTTGATGCCTTTCCAGCACCAGCTGTGGAACAGGACCGCTTTGGTCTGGCTTGGGAGGTGCTGGATTGAATTTGAGTCCTGTGCTCTGCTGCCCTGGATGGCTTGAGGACAGCTGTCCACCAGACCCCAGTGAGCTGCAGGTGTTTGGCAGAAATGCTTGGAAGCTAAAGACGTCAAGGGAGGTTTTCAGCTCAGAGTTACAGCCATTGCTTTATTAGCTGTCCTGTCTAAGAAAGCCAAATAGGTGAATCTTACTGGGGCCCTTCACTCTGTCTTACCAGCATCTGCATAAGTATTCTGCTGGAAACCTCTGATATCTTCACCTCTCAATGGTGCTGTGAGGACAGGCAGACACATGCGAGGCATCATAATGGGGAGCATCTAATTTCCTCCAGCCTCTGGAAGCATTGCTTTGCCTGCAGGGCTGGCAACATGCGCTGGCATCCAGCACATCACCCAAACTCTCCTGAGCTTAAGTGCTACACAGAAGCACAGAAACCATGTTTGTAGCTGATTCTGAATTCAGGCAAACCAATTGGAATTGCCAGTTCCAGTGTGTTCCTGTGACATCAGTCCAGGCCCACCTAGTAGCAGCACTTGGCTTTCCTCTATGTGGTTTTCTTCTCAAGTGACCTAAAGTACATACCAAACCAGATAAGTGAGTTCTTTAGAGATGGCCACCAAGTGTTGTTGACCTCTTTTCCCTGGTGCAGGAGCAGTATAGACCTTGATCTCTRCCCCAGAAAGCCTCTCCTAATCCAGAATGGTGACGGTTCTCAGGAGTTATGGTGTTGACAGCAGTGCAGCACAGGCTGCTGGGGCTGAGCCCCTGCCCTTCTGCTGCTGCCACTCTCATGGCCACCATGGTCCTGGTCTTAGGGTCTTCAGTGCATAGCCTGCCAGCAACTCATCTGGCCTACGCAGATTTCTGCTGCCAGACCTAGACCCACTCTCTGAGGTGTAGTGACTTCAGCTCTTGTCTCCATGTCCATGTGCTGTCTCCTTTGTTGGCTTCTCGTGCAGCTCTTCTGTCCTCTGCCATTCCCTGCAAAATGCAGCAGGACTTCTTCCTGCAGAGCCCCAGAAAGAGCCTATAGCGTCACCATAAGTAGAGGAACAAATAAGCAAGGGAGAAATCGGAYGAAACATATATTAAAAGAGATTCTGAAGATAATTTTGAAGGTAGAAAGATGTCACAGATTCTTTATGACACAAATATCAGAAACTGAAATGTGGTCCATGTTTTCTTCTCAACAAACAATTGGGTGCTTTCTCCTCTTGAGAAAAGCCTGTCTTTCAAGACTCAGCATGAGTAATAGAACAGAAAAAGGTCATTGAGCCCAAATGGGGTCTTTGAAGGTAAGATAAGGAAATGTCCTTCATGAGTTGCAGATGCCATGAATTTGGATGTTAGCAGGGCATCTTAACTTCTGTAAATGAGTAGAAAAAAAGCTAGGCTGTGCATACCTTTTCTCTTTTCTCTGTTAGGATTAGTTTCCATGGTGTATAATAATAATAAAATACTTAACACTGGCTGAATAGGAAGATTGATTGACATGGGGCTCAACAATAGCTTGACGTTTAATGTAAAGCGGGATGATGAAAGCTTGTCAGTGCTCCAGCTAACTGTGATTAATTTGTTAACTTAATTCTTTAGATGATATCCAGCCGCAGGGATGTCTTACAATGTAAACAGGTATTTAAGGCACTCCCACTCCTACCTTTTAGGAGATGAGAAGATTTTAAAAGACTTAACCAGATCCTTAGTCATCTGCAGGGAAGCTCTTGATTATTTTTTTGCAATTGCAGTCTTTGGAGGGGCTCTTTCCCTCTGCCTTATCCATCCCAATAGGCTGGTGTGCCGTGCCCCACAGAACACTGATAGTACAGAAGAAAAAGTTGTTCAAGACTTGCTGTGGTACAGGTGTTGGGTGCGGATATGGTGGTGTGGTTAGTGATCATGCGGTTAGTGATGAAGGGGCTGCTTTCCCTTTGGAGTGGAAGTCTGGAGAAGATGTATGTATAGCGTGTCAAAAGGAGAGAGCTCATTGGGGTTTTGTCAGAAGTGCTTTCTGGMCAGAAAGCCGTACTGTTTCTTCTGAGCCTTACAGACAACATCGTCATTATCTGCTGCTTTATGTGGTGTTGAAATGGCTATTTTAAATAGAGCTGTGCTGGGATGTGGCAATTTGCCATCTGAACTGCGTCGTCTTCTCGCTTTGCAAGTGGGATAGTCAGTCACTCTTCCCAGGTTTGAAGTTTGTGACATGGTCGTTCAGCCTGTGCCAGCCTCACATCTTCTCTCAGAGCAGTGCAGAGGCGGCAATGACCAGCTACAACAACACCTCCCCAATGAAGAGCATCTAGTTATAGTGGTCCTCCACAAATATCTCCTATTCACCATATCCTGCCTAGGCCATGCTTCTAGCAGCACAAAGGAAGAACAGCTTCTGTCCAAGTCGTCCTAGGGGCTCTCAGTCTACCCAGCTCGCTCATTCCAGTCACAAAATGCAGCAGGACAATAGATATCACAGAGGGCTTTCAAGATGCACCCTGCCCTTGGCTTCATCACAAAAGGATGGATTTCTGTGGCTGTTCCTTGCTGCAGCCCTGTTCCAGTTGGATTGCGCCTCCCTGCAGCAATGTCCTTGTGTGTTGGAGTCAGCACAGTTAGGAACCTTTCTTAAGCTAATCCTCTCTGAAGTCTGGACATCATACACTGCCTGTGATGGGAGGTGACACTCTTTTCATTTTTTGCTCGCAATTTTGTCTATTAGAAGAAACGACATCTGAAGTCTAATGAGATTTTGCTCACAGAGAAATTGAATTTGAGGCTTGGAGGAGCTTTCTGTGAAGGCTGTGTGACTTTGATACCATGGAGGGGCTGTGCAAGGGCTTCTTGTTTTCATGAATGATTTTGTTTTGTGCGAGACTGGGGATCCAAGAATAAAATATCTCTTGTYTCCAAAGGCACTGAGAGAATTAATCAGCCTTTGCCCCACCGTGCTAGACCAAGTTAACTGATGTGCAGAAATGTAAGATATATATGTCTCACAAACTACTCCCGTCTGAACTACGACCATCTGAAGGCCCAAAGGTCCCGCTCTGGAGCCTTATGTGATCTGAAAGGCCTTTGGTGCTTCTCGTGCATGTGAAGGCAGAGACGCACTGTCTGTGTGCGGAGAGCTGGGCTTGCAGAAGTTGAACAAATTGTGCAGAGCAGACGGGATGCTGCAACAAACTTTAGATTTCCATGGCATTTCCATTTAGATTTTCCATGGCATATTCAACTCTGGAATTGTTGTAGGATTTATCTCATCAAAAAATCAAAATAAACACTCTACACAATCTATGGGAGTCTAGCTCTGTGGCCTTCYCTGTCTGCTGCAGTGAGGCTGAAGAGAAGAGGCTTTCAAGGAGGCAGGGACATCCTTGGGTGAATTTGTGACATGCTGGCACATTGAGACATGTGACATTTAGGCACATTTACGGCTGAAATCTGCCTATCTGAAGCTGAATATAGGCTGTGCGAGATTTATTTGATCTGGAGGAAGGCTGAGAGAATCAGATCCACAGTACTAGTTGTATGCCTAGGCTGACCTGGCAGTTTTATCAGTATCTGATTTGTACAGGTTCATATCTAAAGATAGCTCCAAGATCTAATCCAAGCAAAGAAGGCCACCCTCCAGGGAAGGTGTTCCCTCCAGGAAAGGAATATGTTATCCAATGTGTTGTCTTCTGCCAACCCTTACTCCTGCTATTGATGTTTGGGTGGCCAGGCAGTTCTGACTTGCTGAGGAAGAGGGATGTTCGGAGCTGAAGGAGCGTCACTGAGCTGTAACTGTGAATGTAGTCATGGCGTGTTGGACTTCTGCACATCTCCAAGCAGCCAAAGTGCTTGTTCCAAAGTCTTTCCTATTTATAGAGCATACAACATGTGGGACTTGGCAAACCCCATGGAGCTTCTCCAGAGACTCCAGAGCAAGCTACTCTATGTCCTGGATAAGGCTAAGCCCTTCCCACTGGGAAATGGGGGAGTGAGTTGATGAGGAAGGTTATCCAGCTGGACATAGCAGGACCAACGCTCGTACAGGATCTTTTAGGGAAAATTGTTGTAAAGTCTCTTCCATGGCTTCATGTCTCTGTCTGTTCCAGAGCTTCTGGTGCTCCTCACATGCTGTGATGACAAAAGATGTTGTGGCTCTGTGTATCTTCTCTATTTGTTCTGTTCTTGCCAGCTCGGGGTTGAGTTCATTTCTTCCTCTGYTAGGCTGCCCCAGCAAGGCTCTATGTAGTGCTTGTTTCAGTAGCACCTGTACTAAAATTGTAATGATACAGAGAATAGCATGGCCTCTGCACAAGGATGACAAGGATGATTTGAATGGGAGGAAATCTTCCTGATGAACTTTCGATTTATGTTGTGGTCTTGTCCTCAGTCCTATCTCTGGATAGGCCATGTCTCCTTGGTGGGCCTTAGATTTACGTTGAAGCCTTGTCTCCAGTCTTTATCTCCAACCCACTTTTTACTGTCCTTGGTGGGGACTCCCTGACTGGTTCCTTGACCAGGGGTCACTTGTCTTGTTTGGGACTGTCAATGGATCACATTGTCAGTGCCCGGCTCCCCTCGCTGTGGGACTGTAGGCCAGTCAGTGAGTGGCCCAGGCCACTTCTGGCTCCTGGATTGTGTCTTTCTGTGGAGCAGCCCAATTCTTGCTGCTCCCGGCACTGGGCCGCTTGCTAGGGCAGGACAACATTTCTGCATTCCTTCTGTCACCTACTTTCTGATGCCTTTTGAGTGCCTGTGGTCACACTGTCCAGCACTGAGGTCAAACAATTTAAAAGAAAAAAAACAGAACAAAACCCACCACCTTTCTGCAAGGGTTTCATGTCTCRTTCTTGGTCGTCACGCAGTGAGATGTGAGGATGGGGAATTGTACCTTCCCCAGCACTTTTATAAAATCAGGAATCGCTGAACTAAAGCAGTGCTTTAGCACTGCTTTGCTTAGGGACAAGTGTTGAGGGCACAGGAATCTCCTGGCTCTATCTCCTTTGAGGACTGCAGGCCAAGCAAAGCGTAGCAAATTTCTGGTTCCCTTTGTTCTCCTGTCTGGCAGGTGGATCCTTGCTGTGCTGCACTGCACAGTTCATTTATTTCTCTTTAAAATTTCTATTGTACTTTTTTATGTTGTTCTCTGAGATCTGCTCTTATGCAGAATGTGTAATCTGTTTTGAAGATTTATTCCATTTGCAGAGAAGAAATGATGAGTTGTGGATTATTCTCCTCATAGAGCTGTTTAGCTCTACTGAGACCTCCACTCCCATACCTAGTACCAGGGAAGGGGACCAGAACCCATTTGGATCTCCTTAAGTCCATCAAATTCAAGTTATTTGTCCCCAGGAAATACAGCAATGGAGATCCAATGTTGGGAGGGCCTGAGGCCATGTCACCCAGATGGAAGGCGTCATGTCTGCTGTTGCTCTGCTTGCCAAGCTTAGTGGAGGTCTGGGGCTCACTTACTTATTCCTTCTTGCGCTCTTCATTGTCTTAGGGAGGTCCATTCCCCATAGGCAGCAGAGCTAAGTGCAACCCAAACCTAAGGCCCAACAGATGTCCCATTATCCTGAAAGCTTGGTGCCTGCACGTGCTAGAGCCAAGCTCAACCCATCTGGGCTCTCTTCTTGTATGTTAGTGCTGGGGTGCTTGTCTCAGATTCTTGCTAGGCAGGCCTGAGCTCAACAGAAATGGTGCCTGCTCCCTCCTCAAGTGCCTATAAGGTCTCTACCTTGGTTTGAGAGAACTGGCCGAGGAGCATTTGCAGAATTACTGAGACATTTCTACCAGGTGATAAAATAAAAAAATACTTATATGTATATAAATATACACATACACATGTATACATACATACGTATATATACAAATCACACACACACACACACACACACACACATATATATTTGGCTGGTACCTGTTGGCTCATCCTTGTACAACTGCTTCGCTAGTTGCTCCCTCCCTGCCTTGGCCCATTTGCTCCTCATCTTACTGATGTCCTCAGCTGATGGCTCCTGTCCTCTCTTCAGGTGCAGCCTGCTCTCTCTCCCAGTTTCCTGGGGAGTCCTAGTACAAGCCTTCCTTGTGTGTTAGTCTGCTTAACAGTGTCATTTCATGGGTCCTATATACGTATTTGCATGAAAAACCTGCTGTATTTGATGGTAGAGGGTCAGTGTAACCTGCAGGGTAGTTTTTGTCCTTCTTTGTAGCTGTGTGAAAGGTGTCCGCAAGAAGAGGTAGGCAAGTCTGCAAGCTTAGGAAAGGGTTAATTGYCTCCACAGAAGTCAATGTACTGAGTGTCCTGACAAGGGATGTGCCCCAGAGAAGAGGAATGAGCTTAGTTTCTCTGCATTATACAGATAAAGGGCTAAAACTCAGCTCAGGCTTGCACAGGGTACTGCGCTGCTGGATCAGATCCTCAATCCACATCTCACAAGCAGATTTTGGCCGGAGCGATGTCCCAAATGGGGGGAGATCCAGCAGACCTATCTCAGTGGAGAATATGGGGGGTATGTGGGACCTATGGTAATAGATTGTGGTGTCATGGATTGGGTTGGGAAAGGATGGACAGAGTCAACATGAGGGAGCACATGGTGAAACAACGAGTAGAGGTACTGGGGCCAGCATTTGGGGGTGTGGGGTTAAGCGAAGTAGCTCCTAGCTGGCAAGCTCTGTGCTGCTGCCTGACAGAGCTGAATATCCCTCATGGGTTGGAACTGGCCTGAGGAGGGTCCCTCATAGAGCTGTGGAAGCCCTGTGGCCCACCCTTGCTCTTACTTGATGTTCTGCCTCCTCATCCTTGCACCTTGTTGCTTTGCTCCTGGTGGCATTCAGTCCTTCATCTCTGCTCCAGGCTCTGTCAGGGATGTGGGTGCTCGGGAGCTCTGCGTGGTCCCAGGGAGCCCTTGGAGGCTTAGCCAACATGGTAGGACCAGGAAGACCTACTTCACAGGGAAGGGCTTTGAGAGGGACAAGTTTTCTTGGAGAGATGGGCAATGCTGGTGGCTGGACCTCCTTGACCAGAGAGATGATGATGGTACCCGTAGCTGCCATGTGCACTCTTGGGGCTGGAAGGGTAGCTCAGCARTCCTTTTGGGAGATGCTGTAGAGCTGGCTGAGCCCTTACATGGTTGCCCCATGGCTGGGAGGGAGCCTGGGCTCATAACTTACTCATGACTGACCCATGTGTATCACTTGCAGCTGGCAGGACCACTACCAGTGAGGAGCTGGAGGACATGCTGGAGAGCGGGAACCCAGCCATCTTCTCTTCTGGGGTAGGCATTGCAAATTGGCCCTGCCCCAAGCCCAGTGCAGGTGAAGGCTGATCCATCCTTGCATCCCTGGCCCCTCTTGGGACAATGGACAAGCACCCACCCACTGTGGTCGCAGCTCACACAGCGTGAAGCTTGGCCTGTGGAGGAGGAGCATAGCCACTTGGGTCTGCCTGGATGATCCTGTCCAAGCAGGATGCTGAGTCCTGTCTCCAGGGGCAGCTCTGAGTCCAGAAAACTTTGGAGTGAACAGATGTTGCCATAAACAGCCTGGCAGATGTTGCCATAAACAGCCTGGTTGTGATGTCCATATCACAATCATGCCTTTTAGTCCCCAAATCAAGATCCTGAGGAGAGCAGGTTTGCACTCAGGCCCTGCCCTGCCCAGATCCCTTCATTGCCTGGAGGATGGAGGAGTGTTCAGTCCATGTGCAGCCTGCCATGCTGGACATTCCACGCTCTCCGCTCCGTTGCCAGCCTCAGAGCCATTAGTGCTGGTCCATGGGGGCCTCACCAAGACCCTCATGCCCATAGGGAGCCAGGCCCATGAGATCAGACTGCAGAGAGCTGCTGATGCCTCACTTTTGCTGAGCTCCATAGCCCCAACATCACAGTTGGGTACAAGGAACAATTCCGCTTAACACCATCCATTCTCTTCTCACCTTCCCCTCAGTAGGATCTTGCCATGGGTTTTGGGGAGATGCCTGTGGCTTTCCTCTGCAGCCCTGGGCTTGAGCCCAGGGAGATCTGCTCTCCCAGAGCYAGACCTTCCCCCATTGCTCCACCCCCTGGCAGATGTTGGGCAGCTCTTTTGTGGCACTCTGTTCTCACTGTTTCTCCCCTTCACCCAGGTATCTCAGCAATGGGCCTGGCCTCTCATTTGTCACATCTGTCATTCATGACTCATTATGTGCAAGGCTGTGGCCAAGGATCCGAAGCTCAGTGTCTGGCCCTCGCTGCATTTAAGCCCTGCTTTTTCTCTCCATAATTCCCCTCTTCCCAGAGATGAGGGCTAATGTTGTGGACCTCCAGGCAGGCCTGAGCCTGATGCTAACCGGCTGTGTCTTCTTGTAGATCATTATGGACTCGAACATCACCAAGCAGGCACTGAATGAGATTGAAACACGGCACAGTGAGATCATCAAACTGGAGAACAGCATCCGAGAGCTGCATGACATGTTTATGGACATGGCCATGCTGGTAGAGAGCCAGGTAGGGAGATTTCAGAGACCACAGGAATGCTGGCAAGCCCTGCTGGGTATGGGAAGGATGGCTGGGGCAGATTACCCAGGGAGGGGGTTACTAGGAGCAGTCCCAGTCCTTGGAGGCACTTGTCTCTGGGCCTGTTTGCTACCTGGGCAGGAGCTGAGGGGAAGGACTATTTGTCTGTGCCCCACTGGGGCCGAGCTCAGCATTCCTGGAGCTGTCAGGCTGCCTGTCCCGTGCTCCATAGCGGCTGCCACACGCTGCAGGCGGAGAGGCTCAGAAAGGGACTCTGGAGGAAGGTGGAGGGTGGCCACCACCCAGGCAAGGGAAGTCTCTGCCTCCCTTTGAGTCCCAGCCCTGAGTCCCAGCCAGCATTGGGAAGCTCTGTGCGGGCAAGTGTGTGAACACTGCTGCTAGGAGAGCTCCTGAAGCACAGGGTGCTACCGGGTTTTGAGCAGGCCGTGCCAGCCTGCCCTGGGAATTGAACCGCTCTTCAGTGGGGCCTGGCCCAGCTGCCAGGCGGGGGCTCCTGTGTCCCTGCTCACCCCCATTCTTGCCCGTCATGCTGCCACGGCCCGAGGAGACTGTCACCAGCAGGTAAAACACACCTGGCCCTTGCGGGCAACTGCATGTTCTGCTGTGCATGGCTCTGCCCTGCATGCTCGTGACTCTTGGGCGGCTCTGGGGCTGTCCCGTCGGCAAATGGACTGTGGCATGGACACGACTGCTCTGATCTGCTGGGCTCTGTGTCCTACCACACCTGCCCAAACCCAGTTCTGTGTATTCTGAGCTTTCTCTTTGATGTATGGAGGGCTTCGGGGTTGTGATTTCTTATGGCAAGCTGGCCCCAAGGGTTGAAGGACATTAACAGTGCTGTCCCACTCTTCTCTGACCCCAAGGGAAGGGTCTCTGTGTCTCCAGGCCATTCTCTCCCTCATGCCCTTCACCTCCCCATATGGAGTACCAAGCTAGGGACTCCCAGGAGTGATGTACCTAGAAGCAGGTGTAAGGGACGTGCACACATGGCACTGGCCGCCTGCCTGGCCTGGGGTGCTGTAGCAAGAGGGATGCAGGAATGCCCCGTTGGCATTCGCCTGAGGAAGTCTCCAGCAAAGCCTCCTGGCTCTGTGTAGCACTGCGGCCCTTGCATCTGCAGCATGTGGCGCTGGCTATGGGCAGTGGTTCAGCAGTGTGGCTTGCTGCACCACCTCAGCTCTCATGGGGAAAATGGCCATCAGCCCTTGTGCAGTTTTTGTGGGAGCAGAAACTGGGTTATGAAACTATGTGAGAGTGGACTTTAGTGTCCCTGGTAGAAGTGGGACTTCTAAGCAACTTGCACAGCTCTAACCACAAGATATTGGTTGTGTTGGAGCTGAGCTCCAGTGTCTGTTCCCAGCCCTGCAGCCTGGAATATGCTGTCCCTGGCAGACTCCTCCCTCCCTGCTTTGCCCTCATTTGCTGCTGCGATTCAAAAAAACTATCACGTTCTGGCTCCAGCTGCCATAGGACCCAGGTGCTTCCCTGCATCATCCAAGGACATGCAGGACTCCACATGTGCAGTCCTGGGAGTGGGAGCAGAAGTTGCTCTAGAACCTAAAAGGCCAGTAGATACTGTCCTGTCAGCCTCACTCTGAAGAGCCTCGAGAAGCCCAGCAGCTGTAGGAGCTCAAATGGAGAGGTCCTCTGTTCCCTGTGGGGTAGTTGTGTGGGTAAACTGTTTGTCCCTGCATGTTTGTTGCCTTGTGAATGTCCCATATGGCTCTGTTATCATCCTTGTTGTCTCTGCTGTCCCTTCTGCTTCTTCAGCACGTGGTGTCAATGCAAGACCTGTTGTGGCCTTTATGCTCTTCTGAAATATAAGATGGGACGGCCAGGGGGCTAGGGATAGGCTGGGGAATTCACCTTGCCACCCTGACCCCTTCTTCTGTCTTCCTGCTGGAACATGCACAGAGTCCCCAGCCTTCCACTTAAGTGCCTCCCTTACCCACTCCATGGCACAGAGCTCGTGGTGCAGCCAGCCACCCAGAGAGCACCCCAGGGATCCCTGCTGCCTGGGGCAGGGCTGGCTGACGCTCCTCTCTGCTGTGCTGGGCAGGGTGACGACCACGCGGTGCCGAGGATCAGGGCAGCACAGGAGCCACACGGAGCACAGAAGCTCACGTCTGCGTGCATGGGTGCGCGGGCGCTCTCCCCACTCTGCAGGGTGAGATGATTGACCGCATTGAGTACAATGTGGAGCACTCTGTGGACTACGTGGAGCGGGCCGTGTCTGACACCAAAAAAGCGGTGAAGTACCAGAGCAAAGCCAGACGGGTGAGTGGTGGCCATGGCTGGTTCCTAGAATGGGTCCTTCTCCTGGGAGCCCGGGCTGAAGCTCGGCTCTGACTGTCCCTTGCCAGAAAGCAGCGGGGCAGCCCAGCGCAGCCCTGCGGGCACTTGAGCACTGCTTTATTCTGTGCTGCTGGGATTGGAGCAGGTCCCGCTGGAGATGCACTGGGGAGATGATAAAGGTCCACACTGGGGAGATGATAAAGGTCCAGTTCAGCTCTGGCCTTGGTGATGCTGTGAACGCCCCCCCATGTCTGTTGGGTGGCCACGACCTTCCCTGAGTTCCAAACTTGGCCCTGGCCAGATGGCACAGCCCAACCAGCGCCCTCCCCAGGAGCCTGGCTCCTCCAGGCACCCAGCAAAGCCCCATGCTGGAGAGGTAGCCGGGGTGCCCAGCACTGTTGTGGGTCCTGCCAGAGCCCCCGTGGCTCTCACAGTGCTGCTGGGAGGGGGCAAGGAAGGCAGGGCTGAGAAGAGCCTGCAGCCTTGGGGTGTAGGGACCATGGCAGCCGCTGGCATTCAACATGACCCTTCCTCTCGCTTCCCCACTGGTGCCGGCACACCTGAGCAGAAGAAGATCATGATCATTATCTGCTGTGTGATCCTGGGTATCGTCATCGCCTCCACCTTTGGCGGCATATTCGGCTAGATTCTCCCCACGGAACTGTTTGTGTGCGATGGACGGAGCTGCGCGTGCCGCAGGGGCCGCAGCCGAGCCGGAGCCAACCCACGCAGCCCTGGAGCCTCCCAGCAGCATTTCAGTTTCTAATGCATGGTTGTTTGTGATGCTGTGTGTGCGGTGCGTCTGTGTGGAGGGAGTGCCAGCCCCGGGGCCCAGGTCGGGGGGCAGGGGTCTGTGATGGGTGCACGGGGGGAACCCGAGCTCATATCACTGCTCCAGCCTGGGTGGCTGCCCAGGACCAGGGGGATAGATGCTCCTGGGTGCTGCTGCTTCTCCTGGGCTGGCCAGGGAGGGACTAGCAAAGGATGTTACGGACTCCTCAGGAGAGTAGCGCCCAGCCAACCTCCCCCTGGCTTTGCCGTYGCTCCAGGTCAAGCCCTCCTGTCCATCAGCCTCGTGTGCTTGAAAACCACCATCCTCGGGCCACTTCTTTCGCGGGGTCCTTCCCCATGCGTGCACCCTGCCTGCCCATTCCCTGCTGCCCGCATTGCCACTGTGCCCACCCGTAGCTCCCTGCCCTGTGGCCACGGTGCCCCCTCCCTGGGCAAGGCTCCCCGGGATGCTGCGGCCTGGCTGCGAGCAAGGCCGGGGCGCTGCAGGGATGAAGGGACTCGCTGCTGCCCCGGGGCCTTGTGCCAGGCCAGCGGCTGTGGGGGGACTGAGGTGCTGCTGCCTGGGGCCACCTGCTGCACAGGGACAGGGCACGAGGGGACCTGTGCCGCACTCCTGGCAGGGCCCCAGGACAGGGATAGCACAAGGCCAGCAGAAGGGCTGGGCGCTTGCCCTGCTCCAGAACCCCCTCCCCGAGGTAGTCTCAGCCCCAACAAGCAGTAGCCTCCGTCCTGCTACTCTCAGGCCGAGGCTTTGGGACTTTGTGCTCAGGTCTGGCTCTGACCTCCCCACAGACCCGTGTAGTGTTTGCCTGGGACCAAGGCTTTACCCAGCCTCATTTTCCCCCCAGAGGCACCTGTGAGCTGGGGCTTGGAGGCAGGAGCACCTTCTCTAAGCCCAAGGATTGGCCCTTGTCACGTCCCTCAGCCCCCAAGGCTGGAGCATCAGCTCTCATCTTCCTCTTCCCACATCCTACCCATTCCTGAGCAGGGCCCGGATGCCCAACAACTTCCCACSATCGCTTTGCCCAGTCCTGGGCTCAGGGCTTCCCCTGCCCCTTCCTGCTGCTTCCTGCACCCTGCCCGGTGGGCTCAGTGTGGCACCCAGCCCCGCCGCTCTCTGCGACCCTGCTGAGCTGCGTGCTTAGCTGTAACTGCAGCCTGGGGGCAGTGTTGGCTGCCTCCCTCTGCGCCYCTTGCTGGGACTGGGGCTCTGCCAAGCCGGGTGTCCGGCGCTCCAGCTGACATGCCCACGTGTGTGCCAAAGTGCCACCAAGAGGCCGCTGCCATGCGCAGCCACAGGCGAGGTGGGCACAGTGAGAGCCTGTCGCTGCCATTAGGCCTGGCGGCCACCTGGCTTGGCTAGGGCAGCCRGGGAGGGGGGCACCCATGGGTGCTGGGTGAGCAGCCCGGGATGGGGCCAGGCTGCAGCACTGGCTGCCCCAGCAGGCACAGGGCGAGGAGGAATGTGGGGGCGGTGGGAGGGCACGTGCCCCTGCTACCCAAGGCCCCACAGCAGCCCCCAGGGGCCCTGGGCCACTCCAACTTGGTCCCTCACTGTCCCCTGCCCTCGCTCAAGCCACCAGCAGCTTTGGCCACTGCAGTGCCTGAGTTGGCACTCCCCTCTGTCACAGGCYCATGGTACATAACGTGAGCTACACCCCTGTGCTCGCCAAAGGGCTTGGAGCGGAGAGGGGGAAATGAGGGTGCTGAGAACACAGCAAGTAGGGCCAGGCAGCCTCAAGCATCCCTGTCCCAGGCAGGGCCCAGGCCATTGCGCAGGGGGACTGTGCGGCTCTGGGCAAGTGCTGCGGGGCCRGTGACGCTTGTCCCCTGCAACTCCACAACACAGGCTGCCCCCAAACCAGCCAGAGCGCCAGGCCCCTCCTTTGGGAAGCAATAACAGCGCTGGCCGCCGCACTCCGGGGCACACGGGCAGGGGCAGCCTGTCCCACCCTGCAGCCATGCCCACTGCTAGCATGAGAGACACCCTTTTGGTTGTTGTTGTTTTCCCCTTTTCCTCTCCCACGCAGCAGCTTCCGTGGCACCCACTCACAGGACATCAGGGCTGTGGCCCACCCGATGCGAGGCCCAAGGCCAAGAGCAGCGATGGGAGCTCAGGGCAGTGGGGGTTCTGGCACTTGCTCCTTCCTTCCTTGCAGGTACCCTCCCCTCCAGCTGCCAGCCCTGACCCAGCCCCACACCTGCCAGCAGCGCCAGGCTGGGCTCTCCCTCCCCGTGTGGCTGCAGTCTCTGCCAGCAGGGAGGYAGATGGGCGCGCGGCCCTCGCCGTCCCTGCAGGCCAGCGCCCACTGTCCTCGCTGGCAGGGAAAGGGTGTTATGGTGCAATAAATACCCCTGCACTACGGGAAGCCCCATTCAGTTCCTTTCTACTGGCCCACTGCATGTACAGACCAAATCACCAACAATGTGGTTGTGCTTTGGAGAAACATTTCACCCTTTTCTTTCTGGGTTGCCCTCCCCCTGCCTGCCCCAGCCTCGACCCCCTTGTCCTTTGGGTTACAACCGCCTCTGTTCCAAGTGCCACCTGCCCTCCCAGCGCCGGGAGCGTGTCTTGATGCAGTATTCCACAAGCAGTGTGGGGCACGCACAGCTTGCACTCGAACTGGGGATTTTTTTTTTTTTTTTGGTAATTAATGTACTTGAAGGCTTTCCAAGCCCCCCCCCGTGAAGTTGTACCGTTGCTGTACTGTGAGCTAAGTGTCCTTGTTTTCTATGTGGATCTTGACCCTGGCTTGCTCTGTCTCACTGGGCTGGATGACACTGTATGTTGCCTCTTCTCTCCTTCACCCTTTCTCTCCCTGCTAGCCTCCTCCTTCTCTCCCCAAAGCTTTGGGTGCAAAACAGCTTCCCATTTTGTGGAATTTTTATGTAGAATAAACATTTGTAACTGTAACGCTCTGTCTCCTACATCTCTGTTTCAGGGATGGAGGGTATGGGGGACCAGGTCATGGAGAACCTTATCACCAGTGGGGCCCCATGGCATTCCTAGGGCACCTGAAGTGAGGGGCAAGCTGGTAGCGAAGCAGGTGCTGCTTTTGCACCTGCCCTTCCCCACTCCTGCACAGAGGCGAGGACATAGGAGAACAGCAACAAGCATACAGCACTGTTTATCAAAGAGGCTGGCTACCTCCTGTCTCTCCAGGCAGCTTACTGCCACCTCAAGGAGGTAAGCAAGGGCCTGCCCCAGAGCACCCAAAGCACAGTCCAGCTTCCTTGGGAAAAAAAGAAAAAAAAAAGGGCCTAGAAGCTCAGCAGTTGAAGGATGGGTAACACCTCCAGGCCTTCTCCTGCASGAGCTGCAAGGACCTGTCCTGGGGTGCTAATCGGCATCAACCATGAGAGGCTGGAGCCCATGCACCGCCTTCCACTCCAGCAGCATCCGTATCAACTCAGAAGTGAGGGCGGCGCTTTCGACCCGTGTATTTTGTGTCTCCTCGCACGTCCCTGTGAAGAAAAGTGTGGAGCAGCTGAGTGCCTGGAACAGCTGCTCTGAGAGGGGGAGGGAAGCTGGCTCACAGCACAGGACATGGCGTGGGTGCAAGTGAGCCTGGCCAGCACAGCCAGCCACAGCTTCAGCAGAGGCTGAACTTACTTGCCCTGCCGTCGCCTGCGCTCCTTCTTCTCAAGGATCCAGTCCCGGCTTTTCTTTACAGATTTGCCCTTGGCGTTTCTGAACCGTGTCCTGCAGACACAACAAACAGGAGCTGATCAAGAACTGGGGTGGGAGAGAACACACTCTTTCACAGCCTGGAGAACTCCCACCCAGAGCTAACTACACTCCTGTGGAGCAGAGGATGTGGTAACAGCTTACAATCCATTCCTCCCAGGGATGGGAAGCAGCAGCTGGAGCAGGTGGTGATGCAGCTGAGCTCCAGATAGGCTAGCAGGACAACAGTAGCGGCTCCAAGCTGCTGCCAGCCCCAGCTCTGCAAGGGGCACCTTTCTCCACAGGTTGCAGTGTGCTGGACTCGAGGATCTCTGGGGAAAGAGGGAGTCAGCACAGCTGCCTTTTCCCTGTCTGCTCTRGACTGAACAAGCAGATGACGCCTCTAGCTTCTGAACAAGCTGACAGTTCTGCAACTTGTCTTCCTGTGCAAGACCCCCAGGACCAACCAAGCAGAGCAGTGTAAGAGGCAGGAAAACATGGCAGCCACGAGCTCCTGGCAGCCACGACGACTTTCCTCTAGCTTTTGTTCYGTCTCGCCCACTGGCTGCAAGGGGAAAGCTTCCCTGCACCACTACCATGGGAGGAGACTCGGCCAGCGATGCCATAAAGCACTGCCCATCCAGGGTGGTAAGGATCCTCCTAGGCCCTCAATTCCTCCCCTCCGCTCGCTTCACAGCAGCGGTGGGCACAGGGTTTCTTGCTCCACAAAACCCAGCCCCTATGCAACCCCCACACTTCTTCCTTGGGCAGAGGATGGCTCTGTCCCACACAATACCTTTCATTTGTGAACTTTGCCTGGTGTAGCTCTTCATCAGCACACTCAGTACCAAGGCCCTGGAAGGCAAAAACAAGTTCATCTGCAGCAGATAGAGCCAATGATTACTGACATGTAAACAGAGGGGGGCTCTGCAAGAGGAAGAACTGCAGCAGGAGCAAACTGATCTTCCAGCAATGGCCACAAGGAAATCAGAGCTCAAGGAGGGAAGGGACTGGTGAGATCAAGGGCAAGCACTTGAATTAAGTCATGTYTGCAGTGTCTAGCTCCCACTCGGTGACTTCCCTTCACCCACAGCTCTTCCCTATTGACCAGCAGTCAGGAAGGATCCTGAGGGGAGAGGAGAAGCTTCTCCAAGGTAAAACAGAGCTCCTCACCTTTGGTAAYGTGCTGGATGCCCCAACAAAGAGGCACAGGAAGAACCTGCAAGAGCAAGAACAGCAGTGTGAAGACAGGATTTTGCATGYGATTCCAGTCTCCATACAAAAATATAGATCATTTGTAAGAGCAAGAACTRAGGTGTCACCTCTGCCCAGGACAGGACTGTCAAACAGAGAAAGAGCTCAGAAAAAAAATCATTGCCAGACTCAGCCCCCTCCCACTAAAATAGTGCAGGACTCACTTCTTGGCTTTGGCGCTGTTAGGGTAATCTACCACCATTCCCCCAGTGAAGCCAGCCCTCATTGCTTGGGCTGTGATGAGTTCCAGCTAGAAAAGGAAGCACATGCAGAAGTTACTGAGCAGTCATCCATCAGTGCTGCACAAAAACCCTCCGGGCTCAGCCCCCAAATAACAGTACACTGTAAAGATGGTTTGCATTGYGCCTCTAACAATGCCTACAGCAAAATCCCAGCTCTGTAGCCCAGCACCCAGTCTGCAGCATTTCTTTCRTCTCTCCTTACTCCTCAGTCTAGTCAGATCTAACTGAAACAGGTAAATCTCTAGGAGGGCAATATGGGGCTGGATTATCCAGGAGTGGGGTGTTATGGCACAGCACTCATCCTAGAGCCCAGCTTTCAATCCCTGTCACGCAAGGGAAAGCTCAGGTTATGTCCTGCCAATTCATCTTATTTTGAGGCTTCTTACAATACACTCCATGAGGCAATGGGAATTGTGTACGACATTCTCCTGACAGGTATCTCTTGGCTACTGCAGAACTTAAATGTTGACAGAAAGGACTGAGACATATACCAAGCTTTCAGGAAAAAAAAAAAAAAAAAAAAAAAGACACGTTCAAAACCTCAAACAGCCAACAGATGCTCTGCCTGGCTCTTCCTTCCCCTCCTCCCCAGTGCGTGAGCACTGTACCTGTTCTGAGTTCTCAGGGTACAGCTGCAGGACAGCTCGGGATCCTCGGGCCTACAGGAAAGACAAAATCACAAACCTGTCTCAGTACAGGCTTCCCTACAGCACCCAATTCCCACCCCCGGCACAATCATCCACCTCACCCAAAGCCTCTTAGGACACAGAGGCAGCTTCTTGATAGTGCAGCAAGGCACAAGGCTATTGGTGCCGATGCAGGGACTAGGGCAATGTGGGACACCATGGAGGAAAGGAGACAGGAAGCAGATGCTCCTGTCAGGCCTGGATTTCAGTAGCTTGTATTTGAAAAGCAGCTTGCTAAAATATGCTAGGAAGGATGTGGAGGTAGCTAGAAACACCGCAGCACTTACCAAGGCGGTATAAAGAGTCGAAAAGAATCGATAGAGGCGTTTTGGAGGACTGTGTGACTTCTTATCAGCATTACAAAGCCATTGCACTGCAGAAATACTGAAAGAAAACACAAGACCTCAGAGACTCAGAACCATCGATTCTTTAGCACAAAAGCGTCACCTCCCTTCGAACTTTCTTTCAGCATTTGCTGGGCCGTGGAGGAAGCTATTTCCTGTTCTCCATACAGCTTTGCGTTCTGTTCTGCAGTAAAGGTGCTGCATAAGTCTCACTGGAGACTCACCAAGTCATGCCAAAACGCAARGAAATTCTGGGTGGTGATTCAAGCCCCACAGAGACACCAACCATCCCTTCTAAGGCCTAATGCTCCAGTAACTGAAGCGCTTAGCCAGGGCCCAGATTCAGGGAAACAGCTCACACAGGTTTTGCCAATGAGTAGTCCTAAGCAGAGCATCTAGTAAGGTAACAAGAGGTCTCTATTCCATCCCACTTTTACAGAGGTATTCTCTAAACAAAAAACTGTTTCTTTTTCCTCCATCTAGTCCCTCATCTCAAAGCAACCACTAAACCTTTGGTCCAGCGATGGACCTCATAACGGCACAGTGCAGATATACGTTGGGTTTTTTTTAACTAGCATCAGGTTGCAAACCTGCTGACAGGAACTCTAGGCATGAGCCTATTTATTTACTTCAGTAAGGCCTCCTCACCTGCCACCAGTACAAAAGCAAAACWAGCCCCACCTGTGGATGTGCTACATCTGCGATTCCAGACCTCTGCAGCCTGTCCCAGAGAGCTGGGCTCAAGCCAAGTGGAACAAGGTGAGCTGGTAAGCATGCACACGCCGGCAGGGCGATGTCCCTGTTTTGTACCCTGCGCAGAGTATGTACAAAGAGCACCAGAAGGGCTCTGCTGGGCACAGACTCACCTGATGCAGCCGTCAAACGTGCCCGGCCTGAAGGGGATGCCCTGCCCCACGTCCGCGAGCAGCAGGTCTCCCTCCACCTCTCTCTCCACAGCCACATCTGCGGGGACAAGGGCAGCTGCGGGCTGCAGCTCGCGGCTTCACACGCRGCCCCTGGCAGCACCGAGGGCTGCGGCGGGAGGCTCTACACACCCAGCATGGCAGCACTGATGTCCAGGCCGACCCAGTAGTGCCCCTCTTCGGAAATGTGGTCCCCGCTCAGGCCGGAGCCGCAGCTGCAGGGAATCGCGGTAGTGAGGCCCGAGGCGCAGCCCGCTCCCCTGGGCCCGCGCGGCGCCCGCTCACCCCACGTCCAGCAGCAGGCACGGCCGGTCCTCGGGCAGCGCCAGCAGCTCCACGGCGCGCTCCGACATCTGCGCCTGGATCTGCACCACGCGGGAGCTGCAAGGGCGGCGCGGGGGCGTGAGCGGCGGCCGG